CATCTAGCAATGGCCCACCTGCTGCCCAGGAGAATGTCAAGGTAAGAATGAGTGGCATCACTATGACAAAATGTATCTGATGAACCTAAGTGTACAGACTCGGCCACCATATTTAGACTATCTACTAGTAACTTGGTATTTCTCTTTTGCTTAGTTTATTATAATGATAGTTTATTATAATTTATTATAATGAACATGTAAAAGCACTCTGTTTTCTTTTATTGTATTTAAATAGACATATCTGTTGCTCGTTAGAGCAGGGGAAGATATTTATCAGTGGCATTTTGTATTTGCTTCCTGACCTATTTCCTATACTATGGATGAGTGGAGAGGAGATGGTATATATCAGTTTTGAGTGAGAAGAGGGAAAGAAATGGTTGTTTCAGGCAACTGGGACAATGAAAAAAAAAAAAATTTCAACCAGGACTGAGAATAAAACTAATGGGTTGAGATAAAGTTCATTTGGCTGGAATAAAATGGGTGGGTGGTAGAAGAAACAGAGATGGAAGACAGGAGGTAGGAAAAGAGATTATGATGTTCCAAGTAACTCACAAATGTCTGTAGCATTTTTGAGTGACGGATAAACACTGGATATACAGGAGATAATAAAATTATAGCAGAACAGAATTGGAATTATTTATCTTGGATTTTGCTGAGAGGACAGAAATGAAGGAATTCAATTAAATGAAGTTATTAAGTACTTAAAATATGCAAGGCTCTGTGACAGAACAAAGCCATGTAAAAAAGAATAAGTCAGTTTCTAGCATCAATTTTCAAGGGCTACAAGGTAGGAGAATGGAAGGAGTAGACAACTATAAACCAGTGTGAACCTCTACACTATCAACAGGGACCAAGGAGAAAAGGAGAGAGGATGGAATCATTGACTGAGGGTAAGACAGAAAGACAAAGAAGATCCCACATTAGAGGATGCTAGATTTGGCTAAGGAGAGAAAGCCAAGGCCAAGAAAAGCACAAGGCATGTTAGGTCCTCAGAGAATGGACAGATGCAACAGTACCAAGGTTCCAGCCAGAGACGGGGCAGTAAAGGAGACTAGGCCAGATTAGACAGATTGTGATGCCAGGCTAAGGGGTCTGGGGTTGATTCTGGAGGCTGCACAAAAGTGGTGGAACTATCAGACTAAGAATGTGTATTTTCCAAAGTTAAATCCAGCAGTAGGATGGAGGAAAAGTGGGAGACTGTAGGCAGAGATCAGTTATAAAATTGTCTGAACAGGCATCATAGTATATAGTGGAGTGCAGTATTTAGAGCACATGCTTTGGAATTAGACAGACCTCGGGCCTAC